CTTTGTGGCTGTGACTGTGTGACAGTGACTTTGTGACTGCGACTGTCTGATTATGACTGTGACTGACTGTGACTCTGACTGTGACTGTCTGACTGACTGTCTGACTGTGACTGTCGGACTGTGACTGTCGGACTGTGTCTGTCGGACTGTGACTGTGACTGTGACTGTCGGACTGTGAGACTGTCTGACTGTCGGACTGTGACTGTCTGTGACTGGGACTATCTGACTGTGACTGGGACTGGGCATGGGACTGTGACTGTCTGTGACTGTGACTGTGACTGTCTGTCTGTGACTGTGACTGTGACTGTCCGTCTGTGACTGTCTGACTGTGACACTTTCTGACTGTGAGACATTCTGACTGTCGGACTGGGACTGTCGGACTGTGAGACTGTCGGACTGTGACTGTCAGACTGTGACTGACTGTCGGACTGTGACTGTCTGACTGTGAGACTGTCTGACTGTTGGACTGTGACTGTTGGACTGTGACTGTGACTGTCACTATCTGACTGGGACTGTGACTGACTGTCGGACTGTGACTGTCGGACTGTGACTGTGGCTGTCTGACTGTGACTGTCTGACTGTGTCTGACTGTGACTGTTGGACTGTGACTGTCGGACTGTGACTGTCTGACTGTGACTGTTGGACTGTGACTGTCTGACTGTGACTGTTGGACTGTGACTGTCGGACTGTGACTGTCTGACTGTCGGACTGTGACTGTCGGACTGTGACTGTCTGATTGTCAGACTGTGACTGTCGGACTGTGACTGTCGGACTGTGACTGTGACTGTCTGTCGGACTGTGACTGTCGGACTGTGACTGTCGGACTGTGACTGTGACTGTCTGTCGGACTGTGACTGTCTGACTGTGACTGTCCGACTGTGACTGTCTGTCTGACTGTGACTGTCGGACTGTGACTGTGACTGTCGGACTGTGACTGACTGTCAGACTGTGACTGTCTGACTGTGACTGTGTGACTGTCGGACTGTGACTGTCTGACTGTCGGACTGTGACTGTCTGACTGTCGGACTGTGACTGTCTGACTGTGACTGTCGGACCATGAGACTGTCTGATTGTCTGACTGTGACTGGGACTGTCTGACTGTGACTATGACTGAGAGACTGACTGTCAGACTGTGACTGTGACTGTCTGTCGGACTGTGACTGTGACTGTCTGACTGTGACTGTCTGACTGTGACTGTCGGACTGTGACTGACTGTCGGACTGCGACTGACTGTCGGACTGCGACTGACTGTCGGACTGTGACTGTGACCGTCGGACTGTGACTGTCGGACTGTGAGATTGTCTGACTGCCGGACTGTGACTGTGACTGACTGTGAGACTGACTGTCGGACTGTGACTGTGACTGTCTGACTGTGACTGTGACTGTGACTGTCTGAATGTGACTGTGAATGGCTGACTGTGACTGTCTGATTGTGACTGTGACTGTGTCTGACTGTCTGATTGTGACTATGTGACTGTGACTGACTGTGACTGGGACTGTCTGTCCGTGACTGTGAATGTCTGACTGTGACTGGGACTGTCTGCCTCTGACTATGACTGTCTGACTGTGACTGTGAGTGTCTGACTGTGACTGTCTGATTGTGACTGTGACTGACTGTGACAATGTGACTGTGACTGTCTGACTGACTATCTGACTGTGACTGTGACTGTGAATGTCTGATTGTGTCCGTCTGACTGCGACTGACTGCTACTGTCTGATTGTGACTGTGACTGTCTGACTGTGACTGTCTGACTGTGACTGTCTGACTGTTAGTATCTGACTGTGACTGTCTGTGACTGTCGGACTGTGACTGTCTGTTACCATATGACTGTGACTGCGACTGTCTGTGACTGTGACTGTCTGATTGTGACTATATGACTGTGACTGTGACTGTCTGACTGTGACTGGGACTGTCTGTCCGTGACTGTGA